ATATATATGTATATATGTATACAGGAATGCGTAGGACGGACAACGGATACTAATAACATCTAATGACTACGAAGCTCAGACGCCTAAAGCATCGTAAACCACGGTGAAGAACCATCCTGGGTGCAGCCCAGCTGCCGAAAGTGTTCCGGCACACAGGAGTCGCGCGACGCTGGCTTCGTGGCCAGCAACGCACAGCTGTGTCTCCGGAAGGTAGTCTTTCGGTTCCTGAGAGAGACGCACTTAACCGGGGTGACGGGCGCTATGCTGTACACTGTGTAAAGCGGTGGTCTGTATTCTCCCCTATAGCTACCATTGCGGCTTTGTTTGATGCTTGTTGCCCAAGATGATGAGCCCGCAAGCCCCTGCTGATGTTGCTACTCCTCCTGCTGCATCTGCCCTGCCACAGCGACCTCTGACTGCTTCCAACTATCTTTGCCACCACCAGAACAAGGACGCTTAAAACCATACACCTACCATGCCTACCACGACGACTACTACGACTACTCCTGGTTCCCCGGTGTCACTGTAATACCCAAGGTAGCCTTTGTTCTTCTCGTTCAGTGTTATCAGGGAAACCACCGCAACGATTTGCATGCAAAACAAGCATGAGTCTATTCCTCTGACCTTTGCTGCAAGCACATGGCTAGATTGGACTGGCGACCAGAGACTCAACCAATTGCAGTTTTCCAACACGAGCAAGTAACAACAGCAGTAGTACTCAGTAGTGAAATGGTGTAGAACAATGGCAAGCAGTAGCATGCAAGCAAACTCAAAACAACCGAGAAAATAGCACCGCACGTGACAGCGGTGTTTCGTGAGTCTGCTTTGCGACGGTCGTAAGCAAGATCCAGTATCGTCGCTGCATGCAGCCTCTTAGGCGGAATGCCGATGAAGTGTAAGACATAGAAACAATACGCCCGCCCCCACGGCCCGCACCAACATTCCAGAGCTGGATGCGTGTATCTGAGGGCCGCACGAATTCCAAGCAAATCTTCTTGATCGCATCTTTGGATAAGTCGGAAATCACCGACAACCTCTGGACGTACTGCAGGGCCTTAGTCGTTGCAGCTGTAATTCGCAGAAACTGCTGACCCTTAAATACATGGGCTTTGGAAATCTTAGTTCTGCTCTCCATTCCATAATCATCACAACGGGAATCACTCCACTGCATGTCGGCGGAAGGATGTATGAGGCGGACCCAATGTCAAAGCTGCATGTCTCCAGGCTCATGCTGTGACGGGGCTATGGGGTCTATGTGGTGCCCCCCCTGTGGATGGCAACGAAGGGAATTTGCTCAGGTCGTGGCCGTTGCATACTTGACTTCGTTCTGCAAGGCTTTCGGAAGGTTGTCAACGATGTTCACCTGCCACTGGTGATCACTTGTTGAAGCTGGGCTACACCCATTAGCAAAAGACTCTGTGCCTACTCCGCACACTCCATCAGAAGACTGGCGCGGCTTGTCATTAATCAAGACCGACTGTAGTACTTCTATGCTGCATGAATCTTGATCACCACCCTCTTGGACCGGGCCAAAAGCATATGATACAGGCTCGGGATTTGGACAATCGTTCCCATGTAGACTCCTGAACATTACCAATACACTTCCTTAAGGTTCCGTACTTATGAGAAAAGAATGTACAATACCCCAGCCCCACATTCTGATTATCAAGGCCCCCATTTAATCCCTCTGTAACCTGGCTCCCGGTCTGCAGCATTTGCGCTTGAAGCTTGAGGGGTGGCTTGTCATGCTCCAAGGGAGTCCCCTAAACTCTCAACCTTGAGCTCCAACGGAGTCGCAGAGGGCACACTGTTAAGATACGGTGATTAGGGCCTGGGTCGTGAAGGCTGACCTAGCTCAGGGATTTCCGGGCATGTGCGCTTATGTTTTCAGCTACACATGTTACGAATTACAGGTAGTCCATAATAGGCTGTTTATACCCCTTACTTTCAGCCAATTTCGAGGTTTGCTGTATTCCACGTAGGGTTCGGACGTCTCGCACTGTTTAGGAAAGATAGGGGTCTCTATGATTAGACTAACTCTCCTCTAAGGGGTCTTGCAAGACCCTCCAAACACCAAGACCCCTCGTGATTGCGACCTCCTTGGCCAGCATCCGCCTGCGGTTGAACCGGTGCGTGATGTAGTCCTGCATGAATCCATTGAGGGTACGCTTCCCAGGCTTCGAATTCGGGGTTGAAAGTGTATCGCAGATCCTAAACCATCTTGGGTAGTTCTCAAAACCAGGGTCCCTTCTTAGGGCCCCAATATAGTACGGCACCCCTATAAAAAGGACCCCTAAAGGGGCCCTAATTTAGAGAACTACCCTATAAAAGCTGTGGGACTCGGCGGGTTTGACGCAGTTTGGTTATGGGGAAGGCTTGTTAAGGCGGCCTTTCTGCGGCACTTCCCTAAACTACGCCTGGAATCCGGTTTGGGGTCATACTAAGTCTATACTATGTGATATATATATATATGTATATACACACACATCTACATATGTGTGTGTTTATGATAAGGAACCCTGAGGAATAGTGTTCGTAATTGCTCAGGCTTCTGCATTAAGTGTAGCTTACACCTGCGGCAGCTCTGTTCGCATGATTCCCGGCTCATTCAAAAATACAGACTACTTCAGTCGGGGAATCGATGCCACATTCGTTGTCGTAACTGAGTCACTCGCGCGAAGCACCGGGTAAAGCCTATGTGCAACAACTGTGTCGGGGTGCTCTGAACGAGCACACTTGACTGAGAATTCTCTGAGCAGCGTAGAATGGTGGAGAACTTTTTCACTTGGCGCTGACACTTTTTTATGGATATCGGCACAAAGTCTCCGCAGCTACGATAAGACCGAATACCTGTTGAGGGTTGAAGGTAGGGAGTTTCAGAAATAGGACTTACGGTGTTTCAGGTTTAGATACTAAACTCCCGACCCCCAGCCCTAAGCCCAGAATTCTGAAGCTCTGAATATAGTATATAGGTTCGAGAGATGATTCGGACGGCGTAGAACCGGAACCGAGTTTGCTACATCAGGTATAGAAATTGTGACAATCGGAATCTCGAAACATACTGAAGACAAATACAGTTGCAAAGGCTCTGGCGCCCTGCGCGCACGCCGATTCAGTGAAAGCTTCAGCACTATACGTAGAAATCTTAGTAAAGGTTAACCTTCGGGATTATGTCAATATATAAAAATCTTTAAATGTAAAGGCTACCTACTCTACTCCTCAGAACCCGTCTAGACCCTGATAGACCTTGTAGAAACCCTTATAGAGCCTGTCATGGTTCCCCCCAAAAAAGTAAAAGTTACATAGCTGACAACACCCCACACAGGATGAAGAAGTTCACCATTCGGTCGCCTTGATACGGCGCTGGGAATGGTCTTCCAACTTGAGCTTGTGCATGTGCCTCGGATAGGGGTTTAGGGCAGGCAGTCTTAGGGCTTTAGGGCTTTAGGGTTTAGCGGCTTTAAAGTCAGGTTTTAAGGGGTTTGGGATTGAAGTCAATTTAGAGTTTGGCAGTTTGGGTTGGAGGTCTTCGTTGCTTCACACTGCTTCGAGTGTCAGGGTCCTTCTTTGGTCTTGAAGCGAAGAATATGAGATTCGTAAACTTTACTAACACCAGCCCTATAGTCAACTGACGTCTAACCCTAAGCCCACAGCAGATGGATTTCCCCCAGCCTCGCGCCACGAAGGAAGCCAGATCGCATGAGCAAGTGGCCCGAAACAAGAACAGAGACCGAGAATATTCTAGACATGCTGGCAGCAGCAACAGAGACCGCCGCAGCAAGAAGGGTAGGAGTACGAGCAACGACTGCTCTAGCAGAGGCAGCAGCCACAAACTCGGAGAAAGCGGCCCAAGATGTCACTCGTGTCAGTTGTTACCATCGAGTGTCAGCAACGTGCACCACGAATGAGTGGAGTGATGTTAGCTGAAGTGCAACCAGGACCTGTGCAGCAAAACAAGCACCCGTGCTATAGCACAAAAATCGTGATTAAAGGCAGCCAAAACATAAACACTTCTTACAACAAAACATAAAAACTAAACCATAAAACAAGCAGAAACAAGAGGAATAGCTCTACGGCAACTAACAATACGGGTGTGCCCACGACAACAGCCGGGACAACAACAAGACTAACAGCAACAGCAATGCAGAGTACAAGGGTGCTCAAAGCGAAGCAGCCACACCTTCAATTTGGAATACTCGCCTAGTACATCAACGAGCATCGATCGGAACCACCACTACTGTGATGATGACGACAACGACTCTGGTACCCATTCTCTGCCAACAATGATACGAAGCGACACGGTAGGATCTGCCTGGGTGACGACTAAACTTGCTGTTGGGCAGTTCAAGGACACTGTGAACCCTAAATCAATGGCAGGCCAGCGGCATTCGAATTGCAAACATCTCATCGTTGAAGGATCGGCTCCGCTCGCTGATCTTGAAGTACGCTTGCGTCAAAGATGCGACTGAAACTGCGAAGGCAGACCTTAAGGATTTTAGCTGCTTCGGATTCGAGAGGCCGATTGGATTTAGGGTATGCTGCCCAGCCCGGTTTTGGTTCAATACTCCTCCTAACTGGAGTCTCTCAGACCCCAGGGCGAGAGTCAGCTTCGTAGTCGGTTGTTCGTTGTTGTTGATGCTTCGCTCGATCGGAGCAATAAGAGGCGTTATCCCCTGCCTGGTTCTCACCGCTACTCCGCCTCCGCCTCCTCTGCCTCCTCCTGCTACTGCCACTGCTACTGACAGCGGCACGCTGCTACAATCCATGCTGCTGCTGCTGCTGCTGCTGCTGCTGCTGCTGTCAATCACCATCTTGATTCGAACTGTCATCATGATTTCAAGGGTTTGGAGTTCATGGACATGCCCACAAGCCTATGCAGCTTGCTGTTTAGGCAAACACGATGGGAGAAGTGTCTACACAACTTATAGTTTACCCCTGTCCTTAGATCCTGTGACCCAATCCTGTCAATCCAACCCCATTGCAGCATGCTGTGTCAAGATGTCGGCCCAGCGGCAGTGCAAAGAACATGAAGCAAAGCACAAAGATACCTGAGCCAGTACTCAGCCTGTCTAATCCGTGGAGCTTTGGCGTCAGACCCAAGGAACCATTTGCTGCTTCGGGACGTAGGACTTAAGGTCGTAAAGTCTTGGGGTCTCGGGCTGCCAGGAGATTAGAGTTTGATGGGTTTGAAGCAAAGGGCGGCGTCGAAGAGGCTAAGGTGGCAGTCATTGAGAGTCTATGTTCCCATGAGGTCCGATACTCGGGCTCGGGTATTGCACGAGCTGCAAGCCCTAAACCCCTTCTGGTGTCGAAGCACCGCCCATCAAGAACATTTGTCGGCAAAAATAAATGTTTCGTTCCGTAGCTCGATGGCCCAAGCAATGAAATGCTGAGGGCTGAGAAGAAGCAACAAAAAGGCAATCGCGTGAATCACAGCCTTGAGTGCAGACCCGAAGCTCGCAAACCCGAAGACCTAGGGTGACCTAGGCATTTTCGAATCATCGAAACGTTACAAAAGGCCGGGTTGCGCTCAAGCAGATTGACGGGCGTAACCTCTGCCGGCATCGTGCGCATCACGCCAAGGGTCCAATAGAAGCAGAAGACGTAGCACTCCTGGGTCACTTCTGGCTTTGCCATGTGGTACGCGCAGCTGAGGATGAACCACAAAGCTGGCAAGGCTGGCAAGGCAATTGTCTTTAATTTGTTGTTAGTAAAACAGTAGATGCATCAAAGTGTTGACTTGGACCGCAAACGGTAACACCGACGATGTAGCATGGACGTAAGGTACACAACGGCCTGCTAATGCTACTCCTGCTCTGCTGCTACTTACTACTACTACTGCTACTGCTACTACTACTACTACTACTACTACTGCTACTACTACTACTACTACTGCTAATACTACTACTACTGCTACTACT